TTAAGCAAAAGATGAATAATTCTCAATAAAATCAAATAAAAAAAGTACTAATTAATTAATCAGTCAATTATATTGACAATTAGAGAGTACAAATAGCAAAATTAATTAGTATACTAATTAACAACATCATAAGATACTAAATCGAAAATCTTAAATCCAAATTTTCAGTTGCATCAAAAGTAACTCCATCGCTACTAAGTTTAGTGTTGTGGACTGATGTCAATTTCCAACCATTTGTGCAGTAGACTCTTAAAACCCTATTGGTCTTTTTTTGGTGAAATGTATGGGTGAGTACCTCTTGTACTTTCTTTTTTAATAAAATATTTTTGATTCATCAAAAAAAAAAAAAATCAAATTTTCAGTTCATTTATATCAAATTTAGGAACAAAGTCAGAAGGAGAAATGGATTACGTATTGCAGTCGATGTCGGGGTCGATGGGCACCGGAGTTTTAACACTACACTTTGGAGCCAACTCCTTAATTAGCTCTTTCTAGGTTGACCCCAAAGCTAGGGGCAGCACCCTTCAAACAATTACAAAGGTCCTGACGATCTTGGGTTGTAGAAGCTGTCATAACCCAATTTTAATTGGGGCTAAGTGAGAAAAGTAAAAGTTCATGGACCATTTCACAAAAAGTGTAAAGCTTGAAGGGCTGAGATGAAGAACTAGCAAAACGACGTCGTTTTGCTTGTAAGCTGAAATAAAAACAAAGCCCAGGGTTCTGTCGAACCCTAGCTTCCCAAAAATCTTATTTCTTCCTTTTGCCGCCAATTATCTCTAAGATTTCACAAAGTTCTTCTTATCCATTCCTTATCCATTCAAAGTTTGGATAACCCACAACAAAGAAGAGATTTTCGGATTTGAAGTTCCTATCAAGAGTCGCAGAGGATTTTCGAAGTCGATTAAAGGTATGAATCTAGCCTTAAAAAAGGGAAGATGTGTAAAGGCTAGGGTAATTTTAGGATTCCAAATTCAAATAGGATTAGATTATTATCTGTAATTTTGGGGATTGGGATTAGAATTGAGAGTTAGAAAAAGGGTTGGAGTCCTCCCTGTTTCTGTATAAAAGGGGAAGCTTCGGCTTTGAATCAGGGGTGGGAAAAATCGGGGAAAAATTGGGGAATCTGAGGAAGAAGAGAGGAGAGGAAATTGGGAAAAAAAGAGGGATCCGAAGATTGAGAGAAAGTGCAGCAGCTTGTAACCAGATCTTCAAGGAAATAAAGCTTGATCTTTTGTATTTTTCAGGTGTGCACTGTTAATTGTTTTGGTGTTGTTCTGTTATTATTTATTTTTTTTTTTTGCGGAAAATGCTTTGGTTTCCATGTTAATTTGTTTCCTTCTGCAATAGATCTTGAGAAAGTTGCTGGTAGCCTTTCATGTTTTTTTATCTAATGTATTTAAATTGATGATTTAAGATAAATGGGTACTGTTTGTCTCTTCGCGTCATTACCAACATGGCTGCTTTGTTTCATATTTTTCTTTAATTGAATTAGATTTTTAGGGAGGAAAGACTGGGAAGATGTGATTAGATTAGTTTAATTAAGGTAATTAAACAAAACCCATGGGATAGTCTTGTGTTCGATTCTGTTTTTCCTTGTATGAAGTTTTTTTTAGGTTTGTTTATCTTTAGGAATGCATTAGATAAAAGAAAAAAAAAATGAAACGAAAGTAGAGGAAAGCTGCAGAACAAAAAAATATAAGCAACGGAAAAGGGGAAAAGGTAGAGGACGATGAACAGTAATTATTTTTTGACTTTTTTTCTGGGGTAGTTATTATTGATAAATAAAAAAAATTGAAACAAAAGAAATAGAATAAAAAAAAAAAGCAGAAACGAGAAAAAGGCAAAAAACGGGAAAAAGGCAACAATGTTTTATTTTATTTTATTTCTTGTTCTTTCTTGTTTTATGTTCTTGGTAATTATTATTTTCATAAAAATTGAAATTCCCCCAAAATTAAAGTATTTGGTAACCATATTTATATGGAAGTTGTGGGGTGCCTAACACCTTCCCCATACTTAATCGACCCTCCGAGCCTAGTCAATTTCTACGAAGACCTTGGTGATCTATCCCACCTCATTAGGATAGATGGCGACTCCATCCATTTTGGCACGTCAACAG